CTGAAGTTAGAAAACCAAACAGGAAGACAACACTCAACATTTCTTGAACTAAAGAACAAATTCAAGCCCTGAGTAGCAATATTGAAGGATTCTTAGGGCAAAATGAAGACCTGGTGTGGCACAGTAGGATAAGTACTGGACCACAAGGGCAGCAGTTCAAACTCACCATGGTTGTCGCTGAGAGTCAAAACCAACTCCACAGCACTTAACAACAGCAACAACAGGGGCAAAATATGGAACAAATGAGAAAGCATCAAAAGAAGATGGTGTATCAAAAAGAACTGGTTGATGTTCAGTCATTTCAGGAGGTAGAATGTAATTAAGAACGGATGGTATTGAAAGAAAAGTCTAAGCTGTACTGAAGGCATTGATGGGATACAGATTGGAATGCTTCCCAAAACTGACGAAATGGTGGAGGAGCGCACTCACCTATGCCAAGAAATTTGGATGACCTGGCCAAGAGATTGGAAGAGATTAATATTTGTGCCCATTCCAAAGAAAGGTGACTACATGAAATGCAAAAATCATTGAGCAATGTCATTAGTATCACATACAAGTAAAATTTTGCCAAAGATAATTCAAAAATGGTTGTAGCAGCCTATAGACAAGGAGATAACAGAAATTCAAGTCAGATTCAGAAGAGAACATGGAACAAGGGATGTCATTGTTGATGTCACACGGATCTTGGTGAAAGCAGAGAATACCACAAAGATGCGTACTTGTAATTTATTGACTATGTGAAAGCTTTTGACTTCTGTGGATCATAATGGATGACATTTAGAAGAATGGAAATTCCAGAACAATAAATAGTGCTTACAAAGAGCCTGTGCATAAACCAAGAGGTAGTCGCTCTAACAGAATAGTGGGATATTGAGTGGTTTCAGATCAGTAAAGGTGTGCATTAGCGTTGTATCATTTCGCCCTACTTATTCAATCTGTGTGCTGAGCAAATAATCTGAGAAGCTGGACTGTATGAAGAACACGGCATCAGGACTGGAGTAAGACTCATTGTTATTGTCGTTAAGTGCCATCGAGTCGGTTCCGACTCATAGGGTTTCCAGGAAGCTGCTGATGAGTTTGAAGAGCCGACTTTGCTGTTCAAACTGACTTGTGGTCCAGGGCTTATCTGAAGGCTAATTTGTTGTTGTTAAGTGTTGTTAATTATGACTCATAGCAACTCTACATAGGTTTTCACTCACAGTCTTGTTAACTGGCAATAAGCAAATGGCACAACCTTGCTTGTTGAAAGCGAAAAAGACTGGAAGGCCTTACTGATGAAAATCAAATAATACAGCCTTAAGTGTGGGAGAAAGATGAGGCTTTCTGGTCCTGCAAAGATTTACAGCCTCGGAAACCCTGTACATAGAGTCACTATGGGTTGGAACCGACTCCACGGTACATAACAACAACAACATATGCATGTTGGACAATGAATGAGGAGGGGAGTAGAATTGATGCATTTGAATTATAGTTTTGTCAAAGAATACCGTACGTACCATGGGCTCCCAGAAGAACAAATCCGTTTCACATGTTTTCAGGAGGGATCAATTCCTGGAAAAGCATGTTTGGTAGAGGGCCACTGAAAAACAGGGAGACCCCACCCCGAGATGACTTGACGGTGGAAATAGAAATGGTCTCAAATACAGCTGTGAAGATGGTGCATAACTGGGCAGTGCTTAATATTCTTGAGGGAAGGGTTAGAGAGATGGAAACACCACCTTCATATTTATCCAATATGTCAATAAATACCTTCACATTTGAAAATTGTGTTTAATAAAGTTTTTTGTGATTTTGTAGCAATACTCTTTGACTTATCCTCATAGAGGTTTGACAGAGGATATTTCTACACGTGCTCACCTGTCCAGCACGAATGTGGTGGAGCATACAGGGGGCAAAGTTACAAAACATCTTAAGACATAGCCAAACGCCTTGATGGAGAATCATGGAGCCTATGGGCTCAGGATCATATTCTCATGATATATCAAGATCAAATGGCACAACATAATCTACAAAGGAAATGTTCTATAGCCTATTTGGGTGGTTATGTAAGATGCAACTACTGGACTCCTGGTGTGGTGCTGTGGGTTAATGTGCTAGACTGCAGTCGGTTTGAACTGCAAGGTCAAGCTCACCAGTTGCTCCTTGGAAACCCTATACAGGGTCACTATGGGTCAGAATGACTCAACAGCTCTTTACAACAACTGGTATATCCCTGCCCAGAAGAAATGTGGAGTCGAAGATGCAAGGAAATGAATCCAAAGAACAGACCAAGCAAACTCCAGCCTCTTATCTACTACCCCAAGTCCAAGAAGAACTACATGGTGTCCAAGAGGTCACAATAAAATGTGCTGGACAGAGTGGGTGGAAATTGTAGAACAAAATCCAAAATCATAAAAAAGACCAGGTGTAATGGTCAGATAGAGGCTGATGGAACTCCTAAGACTGTGGCCCTAAATCATTCTTCAAGCTTTGAATTTATCTCACCCCCAAAGCTCAACTATCAGTCAAATAGTAGACAGGTCTCTAAGGTGAACTATAACACCAGAGAGGTAAGCCCTTCTAAGCAGCAGCAGCCATTTGAGATCAAGAGGGCAGCGTTTGCCCAGAGACAAAGTTCAGAGGACAGGCAGGGACAGAAAGAAGGAATGAACACAAGAAACAGGGAGAAAGTGGGATGAGAGCTGCTACAATTTGAATCACAATTGACACGAAAATGTGTATGAGTTGTTAAACAGAAAACAGATTTGCTCTGTAAACATCTACCAAAATTACCTAAGTGAAAAGAAAAATCTAACCTTTTCTGCCAAATTCCACTCTAAAAAATTATCAGGCTAAGGGCAGATAGCCAAGCGTCTAAACTGAATTCTAAGATTTAGGACTTAGAGCTTCTTTTGTTACGTCAGAGATAGCTGCTGTCTACACAATTTCCTTTGGATGGGTCAGTAAACCCATCTGCTTTCAACATATTTAAATTAACATAACAGATTCCAATAAGGTTCAGTGGCAGAGTAGCTACAATCTGTAGTGTGCTCTTCTACCTCTCCATACTTACTGGCAATTCTTTTACGATTTTTTATTGTGAATTAGGCGAAGGTTTAGAGAGCAGATCCTCAGTTTTATATTTGACAATTCACACACATTTTAAGTCACAGATTACAATCCTCTCAATGTAACATCACTTACCCTCTCCCCCATATCTCTCTGCTTCCTGTTTCCATTTTCCTCCTTAATCCTCGTGAATTCTGTCATTAGGTGAATGCTGCCCTTTTGATCTCAAATGGTTGATTAAAGTGTGAATGCCTCACTAGTCTTACTGGACTCCTTATAAGGCCTATACGGCTAAATTGAGCTTTAGTCTAGAAGCTTCCATCTGTGTGTATACTGGCAGGTGTTGGTTTTTCTAATGTAATTTCTGTGGAAAGTATTATAGCCTTCGATTTGAATCTCAGCGTTGCCACCTACTATCAGCTTACTGGGTCAGAACCTCACATCTCTACAAATCTGCCCTTGGCAGATGAAATGCGATGAACAGATCCACGGTGGTGTGTCTCTGCCACATGTAGTCAGAGTCTATGTCATGGTACTGAAGCTTGTCTGGAGAAACTGGGGTTCCTACAACCACACCCGTCTCTGGAGAAGGCTTATACTTACCACTGTCTGGTTGTGTAATGCCGTCTCTCCTTTATCACACAGATCAGGTTAGGAGCAGACATAGGAAAAGGGCAGGAACTGAATGAGTATGTGACTACAAACTGAGTGGAGAGGTCAGCAGAACAGATCGATTCAGCAGTGGGGCTTCACGGTTCTTTTCTCCACTAGTTTCCATGTCTTTGTGACTTGTTTACAGCCATGTCTTCTCATCCATAAGCTTCCCATCTGACCGTCATGGTTCTCATACTCTCCAGAGTCCTCTCTAGGGACCAGTGAGTGCCCACAACCCAAACTGACATCTAATGCTCAGCTGGCAGCTCTGAGTCTGGCACAAGGAGCAGAGAGCGTGGCTGGCAGCCACATCTGGAGCCCCAGGCAGCGTGAGCTCGTACAAATTGTGTGCAAGGCCCTCCTCTTTTCCCACTGACAAGGTTGAGGCAGCTCTGGGCAATCAACAAATGCAAATATGAAGAAACTCTGTATCACGCTGGCCCGGCCTGAAAGCAGAGTTCACACTGCATGGGTACATCTGTTGCTTCCAAAAAAAATATAACAAAGAAATACTGCAGCCATGACAAGAGGGGAGGAAATGACGAGAAGTCAACAACACTTCTGGCGAGAGGGTTTTTCCCAATGTGAAATGCACAGATAATTTAACGGAATCTACTTGATGCTCCACTCTTAGGGTCTGACTTCAGAAAATCAAATTACAAAGTCCTCATCACATCCTAGATTTATTACAACTGACCTGCAGGCAAAAGGATAGAACTATTACATAAACACTTCGATTCCATGTATATATCTTAAATAGAGGAGGAATTTAAACAAGAATACAGGATAAAATATTCCAAAGCTCCAAGAAGCGGTTATGTTACGGAGCTCTATTTTTACAGACAAATAAGGCAATATCCCTGCACATTAGCTTTTTGATAATTTTTATACAATTTTTTTTCTATGGTACAAGAGAAAAATAACCAGAGCTCACAATGTACAGTTCTTACACTATTTTCACAGTTTGTGAACACTATACACCCTTTTGTTTTAATAAAGATACATTGTAATAAACTCCTTGCCCTTAAATTTATAGTTCATAATAATCTATGATTAATACACTAAAATTGCCTTTTTATGTGGTCATCCACACAACAGAATGGTTAGATCAGCTCCTGGACAGTCAGAATTGCTTTCTCTCCATTTGCACAATGGCAAAGTAACCCTGTGCTGAGCCAGGCGGGAAGCTGACAGCAGAGAACCAGGTTCCTCTTGAGTCCCGGGAGCACTGGAGGGTGATGGCTTGGCATGGTCGAAGGAGGGCACACAACGTCTCTCCTTTCAAAACACTGGTAAGTCTATGGTTTAGGATGTCAAGAGGAGGGGGCGGGGGGAGGTGGAGACAGGAAAATAGGCAAGTGGACCAAAGAGGTTATAGAATCACTTTTTAAGTTCTGAAATTGACATGATGTAACTTACAACAGCACCATTCGCTCTTTATTGTTTAATAGTATTTATTTATGACTGTCGCGCTGGGAGGAGACACAGCTCTACGGGCCACAGTTTGGGTCTATAATGGCATTCATTACCTGCGTCTCAGACCAGGGCTGTTTTATTTTCCAGTGTGCTTGAACCATTCACAGTGCTGCTGAACTTTTATACAAAAGCCTAATGTTCCGAGTCTGGGAGGCCGGAGCAGAAACCTAAGCAGGACAGGGCTCATGGGGGAGTGAAACAGAAGTTCGGGGCCTCTCTTTCTTTGTCTTTTTGTACCTAACAGGAAGCCCACTTCTGAGAGATGATGGTGATCAGCTACAGACTGGAGGGGGCTGAGCTTATCTAAAAGACTGTGCTCTCGACACCTGTCTGGTCCAACACGCCTCGAGAAGAGATGCTGCTTCATCACTCACCACATCTGCTGGGCCCCGTCGTTCTCAGCCTCTTAAACATTAGAGCATGAGATACGTGGACCTAAAAACCCTTGGTAAGGAATGTCCCTGGTAATCAGACAGACTTTTTAAATAGGAAAAAAGGTGAAATATTGGATTATTATGTGGCAAAAGCCACATAGCGGCAACAGATGGGAAGGGAAAGAGATGTGGTAACTGAAGACCAGGAACAGTGATGGCAAGAAGCAAACAAGTGAGATTTGGTCTTTGCTGCCTACAAGAATCTTTATCTAATCGATCAAGGCACATTGCTACTAGCTACTTACTTCTCCCTGTTAGCAAGTTATGATGGCTAAAGTATCAGGCTTGGGGCCCCGGGGAGAAACATAGCCACTACAAGTGGTCCGGGGTAAGATACTAGAATTAAAAACATCTGTAAACTTTGCCCTCTGTACTTGTTGTTCTTTCACTCCTGGTGGTTTGTGACAGGTGAAACATCAAAGTTGGCAGCACACTGAATTCTGAGAATGAGAAATTCTTAGGATCAGCACCTTCTGTACTAAGTGGCGGCCTCCTGAGTCTTCCCATTGAAGATAGGACTGGTAAAGGAGAAAAGAACCCATTCTGTCCTGTCTCAGTATTTTAATGTTCACCTCTCTGAATGCAACATGATTTTTGGTAAAGAGAAATTCATTCTAATTTAACATGATATTTCAAACAGGAAATTTGGCTGAGCACATCGATCCCCAAACATCGACTGTGGCTGTAAAGCAACAGAATTATCAAATCAGAAAATCTATTGCACTTGGTGAAGAAAGTAAATTCCTCCTCTGTCTCCCAGCTGCAGAAGGCAATGTGTCTCATTGGCTGTGCAAGCTCTTCTCGCCCAAGCCCGAGTCTGTTTCAGACAGAGTACATCCACCTCCACCTTCCTTCTTCCAGCACTTGGAAGTCTGACAAAACACCATTCCAGTAGCTGCGTCTCCAGGTTTTGAATCAAGAAATGAATTTAAGATGCGATCTAATCACAGTCAACAAATCGATCGTACTGACTCCACATTTCATGAACATGTTCATCACGAAAGAGCAGGATGAGGTCTCTCTGAGCAGCACTAACACTGTGTGATCAATCGGGTATTACAGGGATGCACGTTCTATGGGACAGGAGTATACAGACATGATGGAAACCAACACCAATCTTATTGCACATGGTGTCTGGGCGAGCAATAAAAACACTGTGATACAGGATGAAAATTCTTTACGTCTTGCTTCTTCTCAGCCCTTTTGTCTAGAGTCTGATGTAGCAGCGGTATCAATCAACATACATGGGAGAGCTGGGAGTAGCTGGCATTTGATCCAGGATTTTACAAACATAGCATGCGACTTCTACGGTGCGTTCTTCATACATTAAAATAAAGGGATGTTTCTGTAGGAAATTGAAAACAAAAGGTATTAACATAAAAAGGCAGCATCAGCGCCCACCTTGAACTTTTCCCAATTTCTATATATTGCAGAGAACTGAAGACTGCTGACCACATACAGCTATAAAAAATTCCAGCTCCAGAGTTAGGAGAGGCCAAGCAACCTTGGTTTCAGGGCAGACATGTTACTGGGTGTGGGAGTATCTAGACATAGGTTACGATTTGGAGGTGCTGCCCTGCCGATGAGGTCGACACACTGATCAGCATCCACCCAGGGCGTGTTTGTGGAGACACAGAGCAGAATCGTTCCTCGCAGGAGTCACTGTCACCGTGTGGGAGCCAAGAAGAGCTACCTGAATGCCAGAAATCCCCCGTTGCTGCCTCTGCAGCAGTATTCTTTCTGTTTCCCACCCCAAAAGACACCAAACAGAAACATACCAAGCTTCTGCCCTGCAACCTCTAGAGCCCACCGCCCCCAAACGGTCTTGCAAACATACCTTTTTAATACTCCAAAGTAAACAGTATATTCCCCCTAGCTTCTGACAATGTTGATGGGCTGTCTTTAGACTGACCAACCATAGGCTTCATCTAATACTGTGGAGAGCTAGAAGCTGAGTATGACAAGACATATCTTAAAGCATTCCCACTTCATGAGACCACAGGGCTTTCTGTACTGCCCAGACCAGTGTCATATCCAAAGGCCTGCAGAAACCAACTTACACCCACGGGATGGGTGAAAAGTTCAAAGAAATGGGCCTGGCCCTACACTGTAAATTTACAAGTGTCTTAAATGAAGACGACGCACGGAGAATGTACGTTTCACTCACTTTTTCTGAGGGACGCATATGTGCCTGTAGGCTCTGTGACTTATAGATGCCCAGCACAACAGAACAGAACTGCCCAAGTTTATTTCCCCATGAAGCTGTTGGTGGGTTTAAACTACTGCCCTGTTCAGTTATAACCACCGTTTTCAGTTAGTAGGCTCGTCTGTAACTACTTACTGAGCCAAGAGCTCCCTAAAGTGATGCTGGAATTCAAAGCTTTGGAGTAATTTTAACAACATGTCAAACCCAAAATATTATGTAATAATTCAATTAATAAGTTTGTAGGAAAACTATTACTACAGTTTCCTCTTTCAAAATATCTTTGCTTAAAAACATAAAACTCTTTAGTCATTACATGCTGTTTGGCTGTGGCAGAGGGGCCTACTTCTGGCTCTATGAGTGGGCATGTAAGAGAATTCAGGAGAGAGAAACCAGTTAACATTCCCAAGTCCCATACTCACCAGAAGTTCCTTATACTTTGGCCTTTTGGATTCATCCTTCGTAAGGCTAAAATTTCATGAAAATCAAATAATTAAAACAGAGATACATTTACTGAAAAATTTTCTTTGAACAAATGAATCATTGTACATAATCCGGTATTTGTTTGATATATAGTAACAAACAAAAACAGACAACCAGCCAACCAGAAAAGAACGCACAAAAATTTAAACCATTTATATCTATGAATCTATCCTTAACATATTATAGGATCATTCGTCAAAACTCCGAAACAAGTGAATTGTTGAGATACATGATTGTATAGCTGCAAAGCAGAACACAACACAGTTAAACAGATGAAGGGGTGTGTGTGTGTGTGTGTGTGTGTGTGTGTGTGTGTGTGTGCGTGCGCGCACACACACACAAATACATATACTAGAGTATGTAAAAAAAAATATTACTACTAGGGTTCTAGTTCATACATGTACAGGTTTATTCCTAATAAAACAAGTTTAAATGAGTCCTTGTGATCAGGGTTATAAGACAAGTCTCTTAGTAATGTATTTGTGTCTTAGTCATTAGATGGAGTCCTGGTACGGTGCTGTAGGGTAAACACTTGACTGTAAGGTCGATTTGAACTACAAGGTTGGCAGTTCAAACTCATCAGCTGCTCCTCAGAAACCCTACTTAGGGTTGCTATGAGTCGGAACCAACTCAACATTACTTAACAACAACAGTCTCATTAGGGTGCCTTCAATCAGGAAACTGACTTCAAGGGGACCTGCTGGGTAAGTAACACTCAAGGCAGAGGCCAGCTCAGAAGGACATGGCCAACTGTTTTTTAGTATTTCTAAGGGTCAGTCTGGTATGGTGCTGTGGGTTAATGCACTGGACTGCAAAGTCGGTTTGAACCACAACGTCGGCAGTTCAAGATTACCAGCTGCTCCTATATAGCGTTGCTATGGGTCAGAATTGACTCGACGGCACTCAACTACAACAAAGGGGCAATCTACATAGATTCTTTCAAAGGACACAGGATGATCACAAGGGCTTATTTGAAAGAAGCTGTAAGAAACTGGAAAATTACACTGGTGACAAAAAAGTCAGGAAAGTTGTGCTGAGGAATATTTTCCCCTGACAACAATGCTCATTGTCTGAGGGTGGCAAAGGCTGTCCTACAGTAGTGTTGTTAGGAAACCTTACCCTATTACCCTGCAGCTCTTCTGGTCCTTCTGGCTTCTTTTAGTGCCCCAAACTAAAAGATATCTCAAAGTAAAAGGATTACAGAGGCCCTCAAGGGTACCAAAATTGCCCTTTTGATGTGGTGAAGAGCACAGACTTCTTCGGGAAAGGTTAGCAAGATGGGAACACTGCTTAAGAAGTATACAGATGGAGATGGAGGAGATGTCAAGGACAGCTTCACATTTTGATGTTGATTAATAAAGGTTTCTATGACTTCACAGCAATACTTTGTGGCATGCCCTCTTAGATTGTATGCTAAAGGAACTCTGGTGTGCTGCAGAACAGGCACAGGACTGCTAAACACATAGTCAGCAGTTTCCACCATTAGCCCATCTCTGGGGAAAAGATGAGGCTGTCTGCTCCCATAAAGATTTATGATCTCGGAAACCCTATACAGGGTTGCTATGGGTCAAATCGATTTAGTGGCAGTGGGGGTTTGGTTTGGTTTGGGGTTCCATCTATCTTAATAAATGTGTGCATAATTATTTTATTTCCCAACTACCTGAGAGAAGCCAGGAAAGTTAAAGTATGAATGAATGTTATGAATTAATTCTTTGGGTTTTTTTCAATATATAATCTCAGATCTGCTGATATTTTTCCCTTTAATTCTGCCCAAATTAATGTAGCTGGAGGTACTCATTTTATTTGTATATGCCTGATATATCTTGGTCTGTATCTCAATCACTACCCTCCTCCAACCCCAAATTCATTTTTACTACAAAAATTAGTATTAGCAGCATAATTTATCTACTTCTAAATTCAGAGAGTTCTAGCTCTCACACCTTTTGAAATGCACGCTGTGATGGGCTACACAGATCTTCCTTCCCTTTGGAGGACCTCATTCTTCCAGCGCAGGAAGTAATGACTGCACACAACCCTCATTTTGTCAGCCCCTCAAACTCCCTCTGCTGAAGTGGGTTAGGGTTAGCTTTTCAAGACAGCTTACAGCCAATAAATCAACAAAAGGGTCTGAAGATCCAAGCCTCTCATTCCCAAACAGGCCAGCAGCTCTGAAAGGTTATTCCAGCTTGAGAGCTCCCACAGTTGTAACCCAACTGTTCCTACCTAACCTGACATCCTAACTCATCACTTCTTACAAACTTGCTTCTCTGTTTCAACAGCTTGCTTTCCAGGGGATCAATCAGCAACACCCTTCTTCTGGGTTTGTTTCTTCTTGGTCAGGTATAGCTTTTCAAAGAAATCTATGAATGGTAAACTCTTAATCTTAGTATTTCTGATAATACTTGTCTTTCTTCCTAATTTCAAATGATAATTACACTGGATAAAAGATTCTATGACAGAATTGTTGGTTCAGCGGTGAAACTTTCACCTTCCATGTGGGAGACTTGGATTCAATTCCCCGCCAATGCTCTTTATGTAGCCACTAAACGCCCATCAGGAAAAAGATGAAGAAGTCTGTTTCTATGAAGACTTATGGCCCTGGAACCCCTATGGGACACTTCTGTTCTCTCCTATAGGATTGCTGTAACTCAGAATTGACTCAGCAACAGTGGTGGAGATCTATTACTTAATTCAGCTTCTGAGTGTCTTAAATTACTGCTTTAATTTCTACAAGTTCTATTTGGTTCTTTACAAATCTCTGTTTCCTTCGTATTACACCCGTTTCTGTATTTTCCTTTAAATTTTAAAAATGTTTTTCCATTTCTGACCATTCTAATATCGTAAGTCTTTATACATCTATTCTTATTATTACTTGTTTCTGCTAATTCTCACTCATTGTATGAGTGTTGGATTATTTGTGTATAAACTATTCATATTCCTGGTGACTTTATCTTTGGAAATTCTGAATCCTAAGTTAAGGTTTTAATTTCTCCAAAAACAATTTGCTTTGTCTTCTGCCAGTCAACTGAGTTTTACCAACTGAGCTTCTTAAAATGTATCTGCTTTACATATTTTGGACCACACACACACTGTGCAACTGAATAATAGTAAATTCCCATTCAGGTGAGCTAGGAGTTTGGGATTGGTGCTGCACTCAGAGCCTGGGTGAAGACAGGCAGAGTTCTCTGGTGCATACTTTAGTTCTCATTATCTTTACACCCTGGGGACAGTCCTTTAGGATCTCAACTTTATGTGAGATTGTCATGCAGTAAATGGCCCTCCTTTGGTAGGCTCTAGGTTTTATCTCTTGTCCCTTCCTTATCTGCTCTGCAGTCATCAAAGCAGATGCCCAAAGCCCCCAGGATTTGACAGAAACTCTCAAGTAAACAAACACGGCATGCTTCCTTTACCTCCAGAAGGTTCCAGAGCTCTATGGATTCCTAAGTTTTATAGCAACTTGTGATCCATTTTAAGATTCTTAAAAAGACTAATCTGGTATTGTCGTAGTTTAGGCACAGGTATTGTCCAAGATGTCTAAGCCACCATACTGACCTGATCTGAGGTGGGCACATCTGTTATTCTATCGCCTCTTTTCTACTCTCCAGGAACTGTGCTGATTTTCTTGTTGTTGCTAAGTACCACTGAGTCGGTTCTGACTCATAGCGACCCTGCGTAGGGTTTCAGATGAGCAGCTGCTGAGTCTGAACCATTGACCCTGCAGTCCAGTGCTTATCCTACAGTGTAACACTAGGATAATTTGGAAAATACTCAAATAATTACTTAAGAATTTGTACTTACAATGTACCCTAAACAGCAGAATGAGTGACTAGGTTATTGCCATGTTCACATGTATTCATCCTTACATGTCACACACAGTCTGATGAGAACCCGAGAACAGCAGCAGTGCAGGAGTCACACCTCCTCTGCAGTGCGCTTCTAGAGAACCAGTATGTACAAGGAGTTCTATCAACTGAGCTTCAAGTCGGGCTCAACTGCAAATAACCGGCTACGCTGTGTACTGGGCAAATTACTGAATGATGCAGGAAGCATCAAAAGAAGATGGAAGGACTACACACAGTCACTAAAGGAAATGGCTGATGTTCAACCATTTCAGAAGGTAGCATATGATCAAGAGCCAATGATACTGAAGGAAGAAGTCCAAGGTGCACTGAAAGAATTGTCAAATAACAAGGCACCAGGAATTGATGGAATACAAATTAAAATCTTTCAAGAAAGTACGGCAGCACTGGAGGCACTCACTGATCTATGCCAAGAAATTTGGCCAACTGATTGGTAGTGTGCCCATTTCAATGAGAGGTGACCCAAAGGAATGTGGAAATCATTGGATAATCTCTGCTATCCCATGCAAGTAAAGTTTTGCTAAAGGTAATACAGAAATGGCTGCAAGCATAAATTGACAGAGAACTTCCAGAGGTTCGAGCCAGATTTGGAAGAGGACGTAGAACAAGGGATATCATTGCTGACATCAGATAGATCTTGGCTTAAAGCAAGAAAATACCAGAAAGATGTTTACCTGTGCTTTACTATGTGAACGCCTTCGATTGTGTAGATCATGACAAGCTATGGACAACACTGCGAAGTATGAGTATTCAGGAACACTTTAATTGTGCTCATGAGGAATCTCTACATGGACCAAGAGCCAGTTGTTTGAACAGACCACAGTAACCCTGAACGGTTTAAAATTAAGAAAGGTGTGCAACAGAGTTGTATTCTTTCACCATACTTATTCAACCTGTATGCTGAGCAAATAATACGAGAAGCTGGATTCTATGAAGAAAAACATGGCATTAGGATTGGAGAAAGACTCATTAACAACCTGCGATATGCAGATGATACAACCTTGCTTGCTGAAAGTGAAGACAACTTGAAACATTTATTGATGAAGATCAAAGAACACAGCCTTTGGTATGGGTTGCATCTCAATGTCAGAAAAAGAAAAATCCTCACCACTGGACCCATAAACAACATTCTTATCAACGGAGAAAAGATTGAAGTTGTCAAGGACTTCATTCATCTTGGATCAACTATCAACATTCGCGGAAGCAGCAGTCAAGAAATTAAACAACATATTGCATTAGACAAATCTGCAGCACAAGACCTTTTTAAAGTGTTAAAGAGCAAAGCTTGAGGATTAAGGCGAACCGGACCCAAGCCATGGTATTTTCAATAACCTCATATGCATGTGAAAGCTGGACAGTGAATATGGAAGACTGTAGAAGATTGATGCTTTTGAGTTATGGTGTTGGAGGAGAATATTGAAAGTGCCATGGGCTGCCACAAGAACCAACAGATCTGTGTTGGAAGAAGCGCAGCCAAAGTCCTCCTTGGAGGCCAAGATGGCCAAACTTTGTCTCTCAAATCTCAGACATACTGTGAGGAGGGACCAGTCGCTGGAGAAGGATATCATGTCTGGTAAGGTGGAGGGTCAGAGAAAAAGAAGAAAATCCCCAGTGAGATGGATTGGCAAAGTGGCAGTATCAACGGGTTCAACTGTGAGATTGACCCAGGACCAGGCAGTGTTTCATTCTATTGTGCACAGAGACACTATGAGTCGACAATGACTCGATGGCACCTAACAACAACACATTGTGTTATGGGAGAACAGTAATCCCATCACCTCTGAGTCTGTTTGGTAGGGTCCTGGATAAAGCTGCCAGATGTGTACTATGTCAGTGTAAGAACCACGTCAGAGTAAGATGAACAGTCTCACCTTCATTTCTCTGGTGGCAACGGTCTCAGCACCACTCACTCCTGCTTTCCACCATGGCCCGAGCAGCAGAACAAGCTACGGTGCTTCTCCGGGATGTCTGGAGCCCTCCACAGAGCCACAGTGACCCAAAGTCCCAGCTTACAAGGCAAGGGATATGACGACAAAGCCTCCCCGCCGCAGTGCAAACCACCACCTGTGCTAACCTGAATAGACCGCTGTCTTCTTGCAGCATGTGACAGAGTATTCATAAAGTATGTACTCACCACAAGTTGACAAAGTTGATGAAACTTGGGGAGAATTCTCTTTCCTCAGAATTACTCAGCTGTGGAGGATCTCCTTTCACGACTTGTGTTAGCTGATCAAATACACTATTCCACTTTGGATAAGGAAACCGGCCTGTGGCCAACTCGTACTAAAGAGAACACAGCGGAAAAAGACAAATACACCAGACATTATTTACTACTCCCCACTGCAATGGCCACATTGAAATCTAAGCTCCCAAGCAACTCTTGTAAAAGTCAGATCAAACCAACAGTGGGTGAGGATGAAATCTCCAGAATTATTAAGGCTAATGGAAGGCCATTATTTACAAATGAACATAATAAAAAGAACTCTGTACCAACCAATTAATTCCATGTCTTGGCTAAAAGGAAACACCAAACTTAAGCTAAGACAGGGCTCTCTTGATCAACGTTCCAGGGCAGTTTCTGGTGCTGATTCCATTGATTAAGAGATTCTAGACATTAGGTTTACAACTTTTTTAGTACAAAGCTTGCTCAATGTGTAATCATGTGAATAAAAGGTCATAGTCCAGAAATGCACTCAAATACCTTTGTAAAAGAGTGTTCCACAAACAAAAGTCCAATCCGAGTTCACAGGAAATAAATACCAAAATCATGTGCTACTGCTAGTCTATAGTTATGACAATTTCAAGCACAACCAAATATTAATATTACTGATGAAATCAAATCAAGGTCAAATACTTCACTCTAAGCCCTAACTATTCTAAAGGAGCTCTGGTAGCGTAGTGGTTACGAATCGGGCTGCGAACCTTAAGGTCAGCGGTTCGAAACTACCAGCCGCTCCGCGGGAGAAAGATGAGGCTTTCTACTCCCGTAAAGATTTACACCCTCGGAAACCCTGTACAGGGTCGCTATGGGTCGGACCCGACTCGATGGCACTCAACAACAACAACAACAAGCCCTAACAATGACGCTCAGGATAGGTGTCTAAACCACACCAAACCAGAGAAGTGGTTTTTATTATAACCACAGTGGCACTGTGGGTTATAATTCACTAGACTAGTTGGTTTAAACCATTCCTTGGAAACTCTATACAGGGTTGCTACGATTAGAACCAACTCTAACGGCACTTAACAACAAATCTGATAAAAGTTGAAAGTCTTTCTCCCAATGTTTCTGAAAATAATGAAAAACTACAAATAGTGCTTTTACCAATAAATATATCTAAGTTTGCAAGCTGGACTAATGAATCCCATTTTATGTGAATGGACAGGTAGTTAATATGAAGACAAGATTCTATATGTATTAGAGAAGAAGGTTGTGTATTAGAGAAGAAGGGGGAGACAGCATTGTCTGAAAAGTCTAATTCAGAATTGACTCAGGTTAGATTGAATTGTGTAGATTTATCTGAATGAAGGTCGTCGAGCAAAGGTAAGGCCATCATCAAACAGAAAGCTGGTCTGGGAAGGCCTTCCTCCTTAAAAGATGCCCCCATCAGTTCACTGCTGACCCAATTACACACATTACATGGGCAGGCAGGCATGCAGGCATGCATGCACATATGTGTGGGCACACACACAAACACAGAACTTCATTCCTTTGACTAAAGATTTTTGATAAAATACAAATACTTTGAAAGACAAATTCAAGGATAGTCAAAGATGACGAACTAAAAACAAGGATATGTGATTCTGATCTGTAGGAAGAGCCAAACCACATAATGACAATGCAGAAATGGAATTTACTCAATACAATATTAGCTATCTCCAAGTTGTAGAGTCTGAAATCATACAGAGGGAAATTGGGAAGAAAATGGAAGGAAGCAGCCTAGAAAAGGGAGAGTCAACTCCGGTATGGAAACTTCACATCCCAACGTAGAAGCAGCTGTTGAAAACCAGGCAATCCGCACCAAGTCCTGACAGGACAGCAAGCGTAAGAACATAAACCTTTCAAAACAAAATATGCAAATAGAGACAATTTTTAAGTGCAACCCAAATTTCAGTACAGTGCCTAATGACTAAGAGTTGTTTAACTGGGCTTGCTAGTTGCCAAACAGTAGCTATCTTACTCTTGGTTTTCAGCTTTGCTATTCTAAAGTAGAACGTTCATTTCCAATGACCACCTCCATATTATCTTATCCCTTCCCTTCACAGAAGAATGACTTTCAGCTCATTCACCTGTGACTGTTCTGTGGCTAGTAGACCCAATTTTCCAAGCATTGAATCAGATATGCATGGCATACACACTCGCTGCAGTCCTGCACAAGAGGGGAGGAGCCTAGTTGCCTTCCTGCCTCGCTGACACCGTGTAATTGCTGACTCCTATGAACTGTGGCCAAGACAGCCCGAGCTACAATGTTAGGGCGTTCTAGGCACTCCAGAGAACCTGAGGGAAATACTCAACTCGGATTTGCTTTTTAGCGTTAAAAAATATAGTCCAAAATATTATCACCATGGGGGGACGGGTGGAAGAGGTGTGGAGAGGATTAAAAAATCACGTTAGAAGAGAAAAACAGGTATGGAAGTGATTCCAGTTTCTTCCATTTCTAATTGTCACATTACTTTGACACAGCTGGGTCTATATCAACATACCAATGTGATCCCCAAACTCCAGACATCAGAGCGCACGTCGTATCCTTGCCGTGATGCACTTGGGTCTATTCTTTCAGGCTAGAACACAAAGAAAAGGCTGTCAATAACTTTGCTCACGGCCACGGAACACGCAAGTAGAAACAATAACTGAGGCAGGGAGCTGAGACACCAGCCCACTGCTCGAGGAATCCACGTCTAGGGCTGGAATGAGAGTGACAGGAAGCCACCATGACAAGGCACAGTTCAGAGACACTGCACATTCCGTTCCAGAGCACCGCAATTAAGTGAGTTTTTCAAAACCCTGTTTTCTGTTTCCCAGTGCATATAAAACTCATGTAACACTACACTTACTCTATAAAGTGTGCAACCACGTTAGGAAAACCTCTGAAATACTGTGAACGTTCTTAGAATGAGACACAGAAACATGAAGCACGCACACACTGTTAGAAAAATAGCCCCAAGAGGCTTCAGGTCACCTTCTTCTAAAAAGCCGCAGTATCTGTGGAGCAATAAAGTGAAACACACTCAAATGAGGTCTTCCTATGCTGAAAATAACAAACCCAACAAACCCAGTTCACTACCTCCCTCCATCAAGAGGACACAGTAACACTTTAGTTGTTTTTGTTTTGTTTTTCCTTCCATTCTAAGAACCAAAAAGCATTTACAAAGCTGGGGTTGGAAAATGAAACTGAGGGAGAAAATGGGAAAGAAATGGGGGAAAAAAAGGTAAAGGATCCAAAGTCTGCTTAGTAGCAACAGTGATAAATGCAGGGGAAATGACTACACAGATCTTCTGATTCAACTACAGCACTTGTAGAAAAGTTAGGTGGTTCCTCAGAAAGTTAAACACAGAAATACTATGTTGTTGTTGTTAAGTGCCACTGAGTCGGTTCCAACCCATAGCAACTCTGTATAGGGTTTCCAAGGAGCAGTGGTGAGCTTGAGCTGTTGACCTTGCAGTTCAAATGGCTTTGCAGTTTGGCACATTAACCCACAGCCATCACCTATGCCCTACCAATTCCATCTGCAGATACATACACAGAATACTTGAAAGCAAAGGCACACACATGTGTACTGTAACAGACATCCCAGCACTGGTCAGAGTATCCACAAATATAGAAACCACCCAAATGTCCCTTAACAGATGAAAAGATATGCAAAATGTGGTACAAACATATAATGGAATATTGCTATTGTTAAGTGCCATCAAGTCAGTTCTGACTTATAGCGACCCTGTATAGGGTTTTCGAAGAGCAGCTGGTGGGTTTGACCTGGCAACCCTGTGGTCCTCAGTCCAGTGCTAATCCTACAGCACCATACCAGGACTCCCTAATGGGATATTACTCAGTCATAAAGAGAAGCTACGTTCTGAAACACGATCTGACACAGATGAACCTTTAAAACCTTAGGCTCAGTGAATAGGTCAGAAGCAAAAGTCTGTCTACTGCCATGACCTCACTCATATGAAACGTCCAGGAGAGGTAAATGCATACGGAGCAAAGTTTACTGGTGGCTACCAAGGAGGGTAGGACTCCTGGGGTGGCACTGTGTGGATTAATGCGCTAGACTGCAAGGTCCGTTTGAACCACTAGGTCGGCAGTTCAAGTTCACCAGCCACTCCTCAGAAACCCTATACAGGGTCACTATGGGTAGTAACAGACTTGATTGATGGCACTTCACAACAACAAGAAGGTGGGTAGAAGGGATAAAAGAGGATTTCTTGATAATGGAGCACTGAGGGTACAAAATGTTTGGAAACAAACAGTGGCGGTAGTTACACACATGGTGCATGGAAGTACTGTCACTGAATTGCACACATAAAGATGGTTGTAATGGCAAGTCTTTGATTGTAGTTTACCACAAATAAAATCATAAAAAGACAAATGACAACCCCAGAGAAAACATGAAACATAAAAGGAAAAGGGTTAAAATTCTCATTGTATTTCATTATCACTAGAAAGGATCAACATTCTAGTAGAAAAACTGGCATAGGTTATAAGACATAAAAGAAGTTGCTATAGAAAGGGCAAAGGAGCTCTGGTAGCGTAGTGGTTACGAATCGGGCTGCGAACCACAAGGTCAGCAGTTCGAAACTACCAGCCGCTCCGCAGGAGAAAGATGAGGCTTTCTGCTCCCGTAAATATTTACAGCCTCAGAAACCCTGTACAGGGTCGCTATGGGTCGGAACCGACTCAACGGCACTTAACAACAACAACATATAGAGGGCAAGGACTTAACTTTATCAATGTACTACCAAATGTACTTAACTTTAAATGTACTACCCAAAGTAGATGGCACTCTGGCCACTCAAGGTGACAAAGAAATAAAGCTCAGGAGTCCTGGTGTGGCGCTGTGGGTTAATGCATCAGACTGCAAAGTCATTTGAACTATAAGGTCGGCGGTTCAAGCTCACCAGCTGCTCCTTGGAAACCCTATACACGGTCTCTATGGGTCGGAATCAACTCGACGGCAATTAACAAAATTATTTAGAAAACATACTCGTTAACAGAGGAGCCCTGGTGGCAGAGTGACCGAGTGCTTAAAGACTAACTGCAAAAGGGCAATTTGATCCCATCTGACAGCTCCGTTGAATAAAAGACCTAGCAACCTGCTCCCATAAACACTGTTGTTTAGAAGCTGCGCAGTCGGCTCCGGCTTTCACCACCCTTATTATGCACAACGAACGAAATACTGCCCAGTATCCACCATCCTCAAAATTACTGTTATGCTTGAACCCATCATTGCTGCCACTGTGCCAATCCACAAGATGAAGACGTAGGAAACCCTGTGGGGTAGTTCTCTTCAGTCACACTGGGTCACTATGTGTCACAAATCAGTTCAACAGCCCCTAACACGACCACCGCTGTTACAAAGCCCCCTCGGTATGGAAGTTAATGGTATAACTTTCCCCAAAGGTGCCAAAAAAAAAAACTAGAAAATGTGAACCTTTTACAAAGAATGGACATAAGAAACAGCGTTGTACAAAGACATAGCTAAAAAGTATCTGCAAAGGTATTTAGTACAGCACAACACTAGAAAAACCTAAGCATTCAATAATAAGTTTCATCATTTTCAGTGGCTAAACACATTATCTGAACCTGTAATAACACCTGGAAAGCATGTTAAGACAATACTTGCAAGACGATTGACATAAAATACAATACTGTGCTGTTATTAAGTGCTGTTGAATTGAACCCAACTCAGAGTGACCCTGTATGGGATTTTTCCAAGGAGCAGCTCGTGGGTTTGAACCACCAACCCTGAGGTTACCAGTTCACTGCTTATTCTACAACACCCCATGCAACTGTTGTTTAGTGCCATCGAGTTGGTTCTTACCATTGCCACCCTGTATAAGGTTTCCAAGGAGCAGCTGGTGAGCCTGAAGCGTCGACCTTGCAGTTCAAAACGACTTTGCAATCCAGCGCATTAACCCGACGCACCACAAAGACTCCAAAACATAACAAATATTCATATAAAAACAGTATTTCTTTCTTTAAGGATGATTTAAAGAGCCCTAGTGGGCTCTTGGAAGTCGGCAGTTCAGATTCACCAGTCTCACATGGGAGAAGGATGAGACTTTCTGATCCAGTAAAGATTTACAGCCTTGGAAACCTTATACAAAGTCACGATGTACTGGATTTGACCTCATGACACTGGGTTCCATTATGGTTTGGTTTATGGATAACTTATGAATAACTATTTTATTTTACTATCCTGTTTTGTATTTTTAATATTTTCAATAGGGACATATTCTTTCAATAAGAAACAGATGTATAAAATACCATTTTTCAAGGATAAAGTTTTTACTTAATATTTTCAAAAATTGGAACAATACAAAGGAATGTCAAAATTCCCAGTAAATAAGTCTTTGGAGATACACTATGAGAGCAGGTCTCAAGACTATGGAAACCAACAGAGCAGTGGCGTGTGAGGTTCATTTGAGGAATGAGCTTCCATGGACATTTGGATGGATGAAATCAGTCCTCCATTCATTCCCTGAATGCTCTAATAAGCTTTGCAAGGCAAGTAAATGTCACAAATCATTAGTATTAAAAATTAAAGAAACCACTCCTCCTAAAAAAAAAAACAAACATAATCTTACATCCAAATTATACGGCAGGCAGTTGTTGTATCACATTTAAAATAAGAACATCCACTGCTAAACAGAAAAGTTTGGTTACTCAACTGCTATTCTGCATTTCCAAACATTACAGCAGCTGATATTCCCAGTGGATTGTTTAATTGACCTGATTTTATGTGAAGTCCAATTTTCAAGGAATACATACGTCTTTCAAGGATTTGGTGGAACCGTGGTTAAGCACTTGGCGGCTAACCAAAAGGTCAACCATTAGCCACTCTGCAGGAGAGAAATGCAACAGTCTGCTTTCATAAACATTTAGTCTTGGAAACCCTACAGGGTAATTCTACTCTTTCCTACAGAGCTGCTCTGAGGCAGAATCCACTTGACAACAATGAAGTTGGCTGTTTAGTTTGACGTTGATACACATCCAGCATCCTTAGGCGCACAAACAGTTTGTGCTCAGATATTACAATGTAAAGGTTGGCAGTTTGAACCTACCCAGTTATTGACAAGGAAGAAAGGCCTGGTGATCAGCTTCTGTAAAGTTTAACCCAGTTCTACTCTACAACCCATAGGGCAGTCCTGAGTTAGAACCACCTATACGGCAAAGGACGTGGTTTTGATGCATTTCTTCAGCTGTCTCAATACTGATTTACAAAGGCTGTCTTCGTAAATAAAGAACTGGGACCTAACTGATAAGCAAGGCTACCCAAAAAAAAAAAAAAAAAAAAAAAATTTTTTTCCCCAACTGAAATCCTAGTGTAAATAGTCCTATCACTTTCTAAGACTGTTTTTATAACCTAGTTTTTTTTTTTCCCAATCTCTTTATATGCATGTGAAAGCTGTACAGTGAAAAAAGGCAGAAAAAATGATGCAAATTGTGGTATTGGCTAAGAATTCTAAATACACAATAGACTGCGAAAAAGAACGTACAAGACAAATCAGTTTGAGAAGAAACATATAGAGAGAGTCGACAGAATTTGTATAAAGGTGTCCA